AGCTCTTGACATTCTATAGTGCATCCATTCAATTATTAGGAATTGAAATCAAACTAAAGCTACACGACAAGCATATAATGCTTTAGCTTTGTTCAGTGTACGATTTGAATGCTTAAATGAAACGATTATATCATTCGTCATGAAATCCATGATGCTCATTTAAAAAAAAATGTATTAGACAGAAAAATGCAAATTTAAAAGTAATGTGTATTTCGAGCGTAACAAAAGGAATGGTTTTCAAATACATGCGAAAATGAAATATGAATAATAGAGAGTGAATACAAATGTGACACTTCATACTGGCCACGATATTATAATATAGAATCTACATCAAATACACAGTCACGAAAACTCGCTTTAGAACTTGATTGACATTTAATTGGAATGAAGCACAAATCTATTAAAACATATAACCTTTGCGGTTGAAAAACAAAAATCTTAGCTATTATAACAACATGTACAAAAAATATGATTTCATCATGAACTTTAATTTTTCGTTAAAGAAAAAAAAATCATAATTTATTTTCAGAGAACTAACACTGAACACATTCAAAATAATTGCACGAGTGCATTATTGGATTGAAGATAAAAATACAATAATCCACTTAAGAATGAACGATAGCAGTGTAAACTTTCGTCGCATTACGAAGTTGGAATGAAAAGGTACATATACAGGTGTTCTACATTCAAATGCAATTGCCATTCGCTGTGATTTCCGTGAAAAAAAAATCGAGTAAATCGATAAAAAAGAGTATAAATAACGTTACAAATCGTTCGTGTTTTATTTCGTTCATTCACTTTGTACGTATAATCAAGTGTGTTTTCTTAACGAAACGAAGACATAAATTGTTTCGATATTGCATAATACACAAATCATTCCAATTGGTTTGCTGTTAACAGTGAACAAACTGACACACAAGCCAAGCCACAACGAGAAATACGATGAGAGCGGCCGTTGAGAATAAGAAAAAAAGACCGTGCACTGAAATAAGAAGAATGACGACATTTTTTTTGCCAAACATAAAAAGCCACTACATTGCAAACAGCACAAATATAATCGCCTTAAAATACAAAAATATCTAGGTTGCAATGCACAGCAGCACCATAATGATGCACGTGAACAAAATGAGCTGTGTGTATAGTAAATGCACCGAAGACGAAAACGGCGACGACGGCAACGACGAAAGAATCGAGTGATGGTGACAACATTTGCTGGCACACATCACATCGTGTATCATCGTCGATGTCGATTTAATGAGAGGGAGAGAAACAAATACTCGTGCAAATCGTAATCAATGTACTTTTTTCACGTACATACCGAACAGAAGCTCAATGAATCAAGCACTTTAAAATGCATTACTGCGAAACGAGTTTTTTTTTGCTCGTTGGCTTTTTTTCTTCTTCTTAAATTTATCGATCAAAAAGCGCATTTCATTGTAATCGGCGATAGGCTTTATTGCGAAAAAACACCATTTTAAGTCAATTCGATTCATCAATTTATGGTGGAATGAGCGTTCAATTTTGCCATGTAGTGTGTATTCAATTCGTTTCGATTTCAAAGAAGATTCATTACGACTTTACCATGAAATATTCAATTTTCCATAAAAACAAACACATAAGCCGATGATTGCATTCGCAATGGAATGAAGCTGACCTTTTCAATCGGCATCGCATCGACAGATGGCACACTTCAACAATACAATCTATCTATAATTATTATTTTCGATGACATTTCAGTTTTTAAAAGTTTGCACGCAAACACAAAATCACCATAATTCTCATTTGGAATTAATTTAATTAAGAAGTTAGTCGCATTGCCGTTGATATTCAACTGGATCAAAACTTTTAATTAATTTCATCGAGAAGAGGATGCAAAGAATATGCTTCTATCCAGCATAAGTTTTGGTGTGCTGAAGCCTATTTCAAATCTAAATATTTGTTATATACGCCTATCTAATTGAATCCGTGGTCGAAGCTGGTTTGTTTAGACTTATATTAGTGATACGATATCGCTTTTTAATTATTTGCTTCACCAAGCGTGTTTTGTTTCTCTTCGTTCGTTTCGAGTAACTATAATCTTCCGTCAACAAAACATAACATTTGATATTGTTTGCTATTATTACAGATTCTCAATTGCTCAATAATCTATTTTGCGGTAATGTTTAAATAACACACCATACGCTTGAGCTAAAAAAGAAGTTATTGTGACAACACTGAACGCCAATTGAATAGTAATACAAAATGATAACAACGGAATTAAATTGAAAATCACGTCTCATTCTTTTTCTTCGCATACACACCCGTTTGACGTACGGTGTGCACAAGTTTAAGGTCAGATTGTAATGCGATATGACATGACACAAAACAATCGAAAATCTCCAATCAATATAAAAACAACAACAACCACAACTATCCATCGATATAATTAAGACTTTCGTTTCAATCCATATAATTCGTATTACAGTCGCATTACCTTCAGATCAAACATGTTTTCCTTGTTTGGCTTCTCTATACCATATCACCATTTGCAAAAGTACATCAATAAATTGTCAGCTACGCGATCCAATTAGTGAATAATAATGTGTCGGAAAACAATCGTAAAAAAACATAACAATCAATAGAGATCATTAGTGAAAATCGACATTGCAATCAAAATTGTGGTAATTTTGATTTTACGGTTAAGCTTTATGGCCAGATAAAAAAAACTTTGCTGAATTTGATTGATTTTGTTTTAATGAACATGACGAACACATCAATTTTTCGTAAATCGAGCGTACACGAAACTGGTTCAACCAACCAGATATTTTTATAAATTGAAAAATTAGTGTTTGATTGAAATTGAACGAGAACATTTTGAGACGGTTTTCAATGATACAGTTTTATTGTTTCTGACGTAAAATCGAGCATATTGGTATAATGTGACCGAATGTGACAATGAACGATTCGCAAAGTGATTTTAATGGCAGAAGAAAGCATAGAAAAAAAGAGACATTTCACACAGCAGCCAGACAAAACGGTGACCACAATTATTCGCACAAAAAATCGATGTAAATGGTTACCCGTGTTTTGTCGTTGAATGTTACTTGAGTCATTTCACACGTAAATCATGCTCGGTAAATGGAGCAGTACGTCGAAATTCGTGAAATCTATAAATGCCATTAGAAATTACTACATATACACACCAAAGTCAAAATGTCTCACATTTAAGCCGTTGGCTTTTTAAAATCCATTTCACAATTATGTATGCGGTTTGAAAATTGATCGACTTTCGACCAATTCCGGATGCTTGAACAACGAAACGAGATGGAGAAGAAAAAAATCGAAATCTCGATGACAATGAAATTTGAAGCACAAACAATAGAGTCAACAATAACTAGCTCACGGGGCATGAATAACCATACAGTGGCCATTATGATAATTCGTCTGTTATGCACGTTTTTGTGGTCGTCTCTCTAGCGCTCTCACAATATGTGCCACACTGTTTTTTTCTTCTCCCTCCTCGAAACAATTCGAACAATAGCCACCACAACAACAACGATGGCGATGAACGAATAAAAAGATAAAGAAAACCAGATCGAATATCACGAATGATTGCATATGCTTGTGCCGATGGACAAAATTTGAAAAACAGCACATTGTTGCGGCTTAGTAACACACATCGGATAAAATTCACGATATTTTTTTTGGGCCACATTGATTTCGTCATGAAAATGGATTTGATTTTAGTTCCCATCAACATTCAATGTGCATAGCCAAAGATTAGTGTTTGTAATGCCGAACGAGAGACTCTTTTCTTTTGCACTCAGCTAAACAACGATTTTGCGGTTCGAATCGAGTTAATGAGAAAAATCGAGTTGTTCGACAGAATCAATTTGATGCGGAAAAAAAAGTTTTTTTTTTCTCTTTCGCATATTGGTCGCTTAAGGGACAATAGCATTTTTATTTAATACTAAAAATGTTGAATGCTCTCAAAATTGGAATGGAGACGAGACAAAAGTTTATCTTGCGTAAATATTAATAAAAAATTACTGACGGAGATAATAATGGAAATCAATTCTTATTATTGTTTGATGTGATGTATTCAATTCGATTATTGGAAATAAATCGTACAATAGCTAGATTTATGAGAAAATATTTATTAAATGAAATTGTCGTTAACAATGCGAATTGCAGTTTTCTCGTTGATGATACTATCGAAATTCTTTATCATTCACTCTTCTATTCAGCTGCTGAACCATGTGACCCGCATATCAAGCATAAAATAAATACCAGTGAAACGGAAATTGAAAAAAAAGCGATCGATGTTGGTGGCTATTACGCAAAAACAGAAGTTATCATATACGAACGATAGAGAGATGCTTGCGATTGGGCTTTAGTGAAAAGTTTTTCCGCAATTCATTTGGTTCCTGTCGATTTTATCCCCAAGATGGAGAAAAGTGAACAAATGAAAATGTCACACATACGTTTACTTAGCAAAGTTTCTTTTTCTCTTTCGCTTAAAGACCAAATGCTAAAGTTTTGCGCTATTGTTTGAGTTTGGGTTTTCATTTGGTATCGATCGTTTTTCGATTGGATGCGGCTTACGTTACTGGTCACTATACTAAATTGCAAATAATGTTGTTTTGTGTTGATAGCATGCATTGGTTGAGTTTCAGCGACGTATAAATGATGGTCTTCGGTCCATTGAATATAAATGAAACCGATATCATTGAATTCAACAGAACATTTGTTTGGCACATATGGCTGCAGATTCGAAGTATGTCAATGAATGTTTCAAACAAAATCTTTCAATTTCCAATCACAAAGTCAATACAATAAAAACTCTTCTTCCCTCTATCTTTTATCAAAACGAAAAAATTGAATATTTTGGTATTGTTTTTTTTTATTTTATGTTATGGTTATCACTTTTCTGCTTTCTATTCACCAAAGATAACGTTTAAATAAGATAAGATAATTAATTAGATTAATTCATACCAGCATAGAAAAATTGTCAACTATTTGTGTTCTTTCCACGTTATTTAACGAAATTTCAGTGATATAACACATTTCAACCTCATCAAAATTTTAATATTATAGGTGAAAAAAGTGAAAATTGTGAAATGTTGAATATTGTCGTAATTGGTGCTGGACCATCAGGACTATGCAGTGCAAAATATTCACTTGCTCATGGATATAAAGTTACGATTTACGAGCAAGCTGGACAACTAGGTGGCGTATGGAATTATACAGAGGAAGTGGGAAAAAATCAATATGGCATCAATATTCATTCTCCGATGTATCGGGATCTAAGGTATCAATCATATATAGTATATCAGAAATATAGAAACTTAAAGTCTCCATATTTTTAGAACAAATTTGCCGCATCAGGTGATGACATACATCGATCATCCATTTCCGGAGGGTACACGATCATTTCCATCACATGTTGAAGTTCAAAAATACTACCAATCTTATGCAGAACGTTTTGATTTTATGAAACTAATAAAATTTAATCATTCGGTAATTCGAGTTCTTCCAATTGAAAACAACAAATGGGAAGTGATTGTCAAGGACTGCATCAATGATAAATTCGAAACGATAGTCTATGACGCGGTTTTTGTATGCAATGGACATTATGCAAAATCACATATCCCAGAGATTCCAGGTGCATGTGAATTCAAAGGAAGAATTATGCACAGCCGAGATTTTCGGACACCTGAAAAATTTCATGGTAAGTGCTGTGAATTTCACAAAAAGTGAACAGTATTGAATTTCCTATAAATTTTTCCAAAAAAAAATCACACAGACGAAAATGTTCTTATCATTGGGAGTGGTGATAGTGCACTTGATATAATACAACTTTTACGGAAAACTGCATCTCGAATCACAGTTATTTGCCGTGGAACACAGAGTGCCCAATGGCAAAAAATGCTTCAGAATTTATTGTCCGAGAATTTTGCAGTCCAAAGAGATGTAGAACGTCTAACTCAAACGGGTGCCAAATTTTCAGATGGATCTCATCAAACATTCTCTGTGGTTATATTTGCAACAGGTTCATTGAAATTAAATTGGAAAATAGAATATAGTTGAATATATTTCGTACACATTTTTTAGGTTATGATTATGCATATCCATTTTTGAGCACTGAATGCGGCATTACTATCGATGATAATTTCGTCCAGCCATTATACAAACATATACTCAATATTCAGTATCCAAATATGGCATTTATTGGTGTTGTCGGTACTTTTACCCTTGATTTACAAGTAAATATATATCATAAAACATGAAAATCAAATCCTTAAATCTTGATTTATATACCAGGTACAATTTGTTCTGAAATTCATCTCAGGCGCCAAGCAGTTGCCATCGAAATCGGAAATGTTTTTAGATATGCAAGTTCAAACATTTACCCATTGGAATAGGGGTTTCAATAAAAATAAAACTCATTATTTATATTTACATCAAAGTTCAATGAGTGAATTCCGCAATCAATTGTCAGAGATCGCCGGCCCCGAAAAAGTAAAAGCAACAACTGTGCTGCGTGCCATTGTTTTAGATGTCTATGAAACACGTTTAAAGGATATCGATTTTCGAAAATACAAATACGTTATAATTGATGACAATACATTTAAAAAAATTGAAGAATTGTAGATAATATCGAAAGCGTGTGGATGTGACTGAATTTTTTCGCTTAATATAAAATGTCGAAAGAATTTTTCCATTAAAAATGATATTGTTAGAAAGTGAATTTTAGTAAAAAAAAAAAACATCTTATTTTAATAGATATCTTTTAATGAGTCATATCTTTTTAATAAGCTATATCTTGACACAAAATAAAAAAAAGATGCGAAAAACTGTTATAAGCGTAGATATTGCTGAATAAATTCCGGCATTGCAAATGATCAAAGGATAAATAGTAGCACACAAAGTGAATGCTTTTGCAATAAAGTTCAACTTTGATAGATTTGAATGGTGTTTCGTGTCATGTCATTTGATCAAATTACAGCTAACATTTAATGTTGCCTCATCACATCATTAACAAACGATGTGGCGAATTTAGCTTCGTAAAAAACATAAGTAAAAGTATTACATAAGTTCAGCTTGTTATACTTGGTGTTGAATGAGCGTAAGGAATGTTGAGCAGTAATCATTTGAAGAAAATGTACGTTCGCCCATTTATCATATATGATTTTTGAGCAGCTTGCGTCATACGCGCGGCAACGAATCTCATTTCATCTATCATTCTCTCTCATACAAACTCACTTATTTGAAAATAAATCACGAACTCTGCACACGATTTTATCTTGGAGGCTCATTTCCTTGTGCAATAATATCAACGGAATTCCGGAAATTGAATAGATAAAATTATACACAAAATCGAGATATATAACGCATTAGAATAAATTGTTAGACGCAATTCTTACCAATTCTCCAGGACTTTGTCGTAGGCCAATGCCGATATTTTTATTCGAAATGTGTTGCTGTTGCTTTGCAACATCTTTTTTCGATGGCAACGGAATGAAACCGTTCAAATGATGATTGTGATAATTTATAGTTGGCATGCTATTCGGTGAATCGTACATGGATGCCGGTCGTTGTCTCGGTATACCAATGCCCGGTCCAAAGATTTGCCGTTGATCATGCATGAATGATGCATTTGCCGGTATGGCTGATAGATTTCTCGTCGAATTCGATAGATTACGAGCGGGTTGTGTTTGTGTTGCCTTCAGATGGGCTTTTTCATCGTATTTACCCCAACGCATATTGCTTTGGGTGTGACCAGGATGTGGTAACGAATAAGAGCTCCGTTGACCGGCAATATTCCATTTGTTCGTGTTACCATTGTGATGACTTGCATGATGATGAGGTATTTGTGCTGTTGAATAATGCTGATACGCATTCAACGCCGGGTGATGCACTTGTGTGGCACTCAGTTCATGTGTCGTATGCCACATTATGAATACTTCTTCGTCGTTTTCGTACTATTTTACGCTTTCACTTGCGAAACCCTTGAACTTTTATGTTTTTCTTTTATTTTTTTCTTAGTGTGAGATTTTTATTTTGTCGAGATTTTTCCTTTATGATTTGTTTACTTCCTTGATTTTTTTCTCATCTTATAAGTCGTCGTCGTTTTTGTTACACGTGACTGTTTGAGGCTGTTTTAACTATATACATACACTCCTATACCAATTTTATATTAAGTTTACGATGTATGACCAAAAAAAAACTTTAACTCTGCAAAATAAAAACAATTTCGAATAAAACTCATTGAATAAATCGAAACTTTTTTTTGTTGTTGTTGCGAGAAGGAATGTTTGTGTGCACAACAATCCATTGGTGGCCTATGTCAAAAGGTGAGGCGTTCGTTTGTGTATAAAAAATTGGCTGGTTTGCTTTTATAAAATTCCCTACTTGATTTCAAATTAATTTTTCCACGATGATGTTGTCTATATGGGCCATTTGATGCCGAGACGGTTATTTATGCAAAACACGGAACAAAATAATAG